AATTCATATTATTTAACATACACATTACAATGACTTACTTGCGTCATGAGGTACACTCGAAATCTACTACAGTCAAGAGATATTCGAATTTTTTATTTTATCAAAATCAATTGAAAAAAAATGTTTAGTTCTTTATCGTAAAATATTATATTAAATCCAATAATGACAATATTTAAATAATATTTTTTTTTTATAATACACAATAAAGTGTATGGCTTGAGCAGATGAATTAATTCTTTGAAATATATTATGTGATGTATGAAGTCGATTTAAATTTTTTTTTTAAACGTATTCATGTTGTTTTAATAAACCGTGTWATTTCTACCAATATTTTATATTTATTTATTAACTGAATTACAATTTCCTGAAACATTTTTGTGAAAATAAATTAATATATAAAATAAATTGTTACATTTCCAGAAATCTTAGCCTTGTTAGAATTTTGACGATAGGTTACCTTGAATTTTTAAAATATAATTTTATTTTCAGCAATCCATTTTGCATTAAAAATCGAATTTATCTATCAGCACTTAATATCGTGGCGTAGTTTTCATTTAAAATAGTTTTTATTTTTTGATAAACATTTTTACAGGACACACTTTTTCAAATGTGATAGTATCTTAAAAATAGTAATTTTAAATTACGTCGGTATAGAAAAATGTATATTATTTCGATTTTTGTTGCTTAGTTACATATATTTTTACATTTTTTTTCTTTCCACTAATTACCTTTTTTTTTTTTTGTCTAAATTGCTAGAGTTCACCGGGACTCTTTTTCATGGTCAATACTGTGTGTAATTGGTAATATACAAATATGCATAGGTAGTGTATTGGAACATAATAAGAAGTGATTCTAACGGTACCAATTCTGTCTTTGGTCCACATTACAATAATTTTCAATCAAGCAACAAATCCATGTGGGAACCAGATGAGAACTAGGACTTATAATTTTCCTGCAGCTGATCCACTTCATTCTATATTGCTCATAGTWAAACCGTCGAAATACATTTCATAAACGTTCTGTTAAGGTAACTTGTTGCGTTTAGAGTGAGTTGARCTACCATCATGTGAGACAATCTGTAATGGAACTAAAAGCATATTATCCTTAGTTACCAGGCTGATGCAACATAGATATGTTACWAGTTGTTATGCTTTGAGCACGTGGTGTTACACGTTTGATTGAATTATTTGGTTTGAGTACTGTATTAGATTGGACCAGTGTTAAAATCTCGTGGAAGATGTTACGAGCACATTGAATATTATTCATTTYTAATATTTTCTTCATAGTTGGGGAGACGCTGTATAGATGGTCTATTAGATTGATATTAGGTCTATTCGATTTTCTGCTCCAGAATGATGCATGTTTGAACGCTGTTCTTAAAATTCTTGTTATTAGAGGTTGTTCAGAAGATCAACAGCATTTTGCATCATTACTGCTTGAATATTACCGAACTTACAAGAGTTACTTTATAGTTGACAATAAAAACTGGAAAATCGGTAGAAAAAAATTTGCCTGGCAAATAACTGAATAAGTACAATAAAATATTAGGAATTTCTTTAAAATTACGATAATATTCTCGAATATTTTTACATTAAATCTTATAACAGTATATGATATATGATAGTCGTTACAAACAGCCATTTAATTATTCGAATTGTTCCAGTAGTTGATTACAAAATAGTTTACGATTAAACAGCTCACGYGGGCTTGGCTGATATGTTTGTAGTGCGATTACGGTATGACGTGTTATTATTATTTGTACGAGGTTTAGTGCGTTCGTAAAGCCACTTTGTTTTAACGAAAATGTTATACCGAAAACAATTTAGTCAAAACCACTGATCAACGTAAATGCTCTACTTAATATGCTATGCCAATTTACTATGCAAAGCTACATCTAACTTTCAATTCATACCGCCAAATATACCAAGAGATTATAGTAATTAAAAAAGAGATAATTTTGCATTGGAGTTATCAGCATTAATATTAATCATGGAAATGATTTATATTATCCCGATTATACTGCAGGATGTATTTTTAGAACATCTAGTCGAATGATTCGTGTATAGGTATTTCATTCAGTGTATTTATGCAATCGATGTTTATAAACATAATATTGTTATTAATTAGCACTTAAAAGTATCGGTAGCAGACATTTGATCCAATATCAGTCGCTGAGCAAAATAAACATGTTGATACAATATATACTATGGGTAGTCGTAAAAATGTAAATAGTAGCTTATAAAAATATAATACATAGTGCACTGCACATATGAATAATATACAAATAATACAATACACTGTATTGTCAACTTTTGTAATGATGGTATAATATTAGTTTGTCGAGATATTTTTGACCTTTTAGTTTGTTTTGTACATATGATTATACCGTTAATTTTAAAATTACAATTCATTTTAACATCATGTTATAGAAAATGTTGTTAATGCCAGCAATTTTGAATGATTACTATACATATATATTATAAATACTACAAACTATACAGTTTATAAAAAACAAACAAAATATTTTAATCGCAGAAATCTCGGTCACTGATAAACTTCGCTAGTACTTTGTCCAAAACAACACTCTACTTAGGTGTTTGTGTAATAATGTTCAACCGATAAGCTCGTTTTTTCTTTGTTAGAAACATAAAATAAAGTTGTAAGTGGTAGGAACTTAAAGTGTAAAAAAAATACCTTACCATACTTTGAAATTCGGTTACGTAAGAGCCAATCCAAATTGTAAAAAATCTTTAAAGAAAAATCGTCGATGGTAGCACATTTGTTGTTGATAGGTTTGTTAAGTTTAAAGCATATAGGTATGAATTCTTATTTTATTGCCGATATTTAGTGTATTCGGATGAATATATAGTTAATTCTTTACAATGTAATTATATTATTACATTTAACCGTATTGTAAATCATAATGATATTTCAATGTCACAGCTATTATTTTCTGAATTCATGATTAACATAATATAGTTAATTGTATAAAAAATAAAAGATATTAATGTTTAAGGTATATTATTATAAAAAAAAAGGATAAAAGGATAAAGTTTGGCAATGCCTCATACTTAGGAACTATTTTTCGTTGATATTTATTATTTTAGATTTTAGATTTGTAATTAAATCAAAAATTTAGACTTAAATTCAAATTTAACATTTTGATTTTAAAATTCCGAATTCAAAACACCTCTACTACTTATTTTGAGCAGACCTATTGCATTATTTTTATAAACAATAAGCTAATATTCAAATTATTAATTGACATAAAATTCAAATTGTATTATTTGTTTATTTAACAACATAAGTACATTTTATGTGTGTAACAGATCATAACTTTATTCCATTTAGAATTTAAATCAACTAGATTTTTCTAACTAATATTTAATTAAATTAGTTGTAATTATTATTGTTTATCGTTTTTTTATTCAAAATGTTGTTTTTCTGTAAATATGATCTATAAAACGTATTCAGCTGTTATTTCACTGCTCTGAAAAACTACACATCATTTTCAAATTAAGAATATCACTATTATATAATATAAAGTCGTATATCCTAGGTACACATAATGATTGTGCATACAAAATCTACGATATAAAATTGAGGAAAACATTAGGTATATATATCAACTAAATAAATAAACCTATAAATATCTATACTCTTGAGCATACATACCACGTGCTTTAAGTATAATAAAGTAGTCAGTACATAAAATAAGATGAATTGATTTAATTTTCATTGAAATACGTCCAATTTTATATATTTTAATAAAACTTTAAATTATTTAATTTCTTTTCAGTTACCATTTTGTTTATTGTTACTAGTTTATTGTGTGATATAATTCTACCAAAATTGTTATTTATTTTCTTCATCTTCTTTTGAGTCGATGCTGTTATCACGTCTTTGTTCTGCAGTTTGTGTTAATGTACTTTTCTTTGTATCTGTTTCCTTTAGTAACGCTTGCATAAATTAATGATTTTCTTCTTAAATATGATTTATTATTTAACCCAAATATACGTACCTACTGCTCTTTATGGTAGTATATGCGTAATAATCCAGATGATTTTTAGGTCAAACAACAATAAGTTCTTACATTATTTAAGTGTCGTTTGTATACATTCGTTTTTTGAAACACATGTGTGATTCACCACAGCTCTATAAATAAATGTGCTTATTCGCTATTATTAATATTATTATGTTAGGCTTATTCGATCGTCATTGTGCAAAAGTAATTTTTACTATAGTAATAATAAAAAAAAAAATTTGAAAATACAATAAAAAATAATCCACTGCTAGATATATTAAGGGACCTCCTTTATTCTTATCCAATTATTTAAAACCTTCATAGGAATTTTTTTGATGCGTCACTTTTACTCACACTCTATGTGTTTGTGTTACTAACTATTTAGTCTATCCATATTTTCTTCTCATAACATGATAAAAAAATATCTCAACTTATTTTCTCTCATATTGTCATATTGATTACAAGGTGGTGGCACTCCTGTCTTTTCCTTACTGATTTAATTTCTTATTTAATCCTCCATAGTCACAATATACACTACAGAATTTGTACTTATGCTGCACCCAACCAGTATTCTGATATATTGCTCACTGCACAATATATTGATCCATACGCGTTGTGACTGGTCTCACAACTCCATTACAATATATAGCTTTTGGCATCAACAAAATGTCCATGTAACAAAAAATAAATAAACACCGGACGTTTGTATGTTCTGTTTCAAATGAGAATAATCAGTTGGCTAGTTAGTTGACCTAACCAACTTCTCGGCATAATAGGTGATCATGCGGTTCTAAATGCGTCAATGGGAATGGTGCAAAATAGTGGTTGTTCTAACACATTCATCACCAGTCATGATCCTGTTTGTGACGTCATAATCGATACCATCATTTTTATAGGTGCCATCGATACCGAGCATGTACTCGAAACTACTCAAAACAACAACAACAACAACAACAATAATAATAATAATGTATACCTGTAGTACATGACGATCATGACGACGCCGGGTATCCAAAACGAGACAGACGAAGATATGATCGCGTAATACCGGTTGACGACGAACACACACGACATGGGGTTCTTGCGGCGAAACGCCTGGTGCTCGGCGGTCGTATACCAGCCGAAGAATATCGGAAGGAACGATATGAGCGCCGGTAGAGTCCACACGTTGAGCAGCATGTACAGAACTGTGCGCTGCGTCATGGTGATCGGGTACTGCAGTGGACTGACGATTGCGTAATACCGGTCCACACTTATACAGCACAGATGCAGTATGGACGCGGTGGAGAAGTACACGTCCAGGCTGTTCCAAACGTCGCACATGACGTACCCAAACATCCACTTGCCGGTAATCTCGACGCTGGCGTTGAACGACATGGCGCATAGCGCCACTAGGAAGTCGGCGAAGGCCAGCGACACGACATAGTAGTTGGTGAGTATGCGGAGTTTCCGGTGCCGTACCACGCTGATCACCACCAGAGCATTGCCCAACACTGCGCACAATATTATCGAGCACATGGCCACCGTCTTGATGACGAGCACCGGGCCCACGGCGGCGGCCACATCTTCCGCCGTCCCACCACCACCGACGAGGTCACCGCCACCGCCGCCAATAGCGGCCGACCCGTCTCCGGCCACCGTGTGCGTCGTCTTGTTATCCGGTCCGATTGTGCAACCGACTGCACCGGCGGTTACTGCGCCGACGCTGCCGCTGCTATTGTTGCTGCCACCGCCGTCTCCGTCGACGCCGACACTGCCACCGACGCTTCCGCCACCCGTGCTGTTACCGACAACTGCAGCTATCTGCGTACCGCCTGGTACAAATCCTGTGTCGTACCACCACATCTGCGGGTCCATGGTGGCCGTCCGCCCTCCGATCGGCGGTCACATCGTGCTTGRCGGTTTTCCCGCTGGTGGGTGCTATTMCGGCCGATCGTGTCGTAGCCGATGCTGTGGGTGGTGCGGGTGGTGGTGCTCCGCGTTGTGGGCGATGGTCGTTACCTGCAGTTGGTGATGCCCTTCCGCTTCTGAAATGTGAAATTAAACGTTAAAAAAAAGATAAAACATATTAAATAGGTATTCGTATTTTGTTCTCTGGTTTTGGTTCTCTGAACCAACGAGGATATACAGGATGATTGATTTATCATAAAACACTAATTATTTMAAAAAGTATTGACTTTTTTCAAAATATTTTTTTACATGGTTTCAAGTTGTTAAAAAACCAATGTTTTTATTAAAAAATTATATTTTTAAATATTTTTTATCCTTATCATTTTTTAATTTTTTAACTTTTTTGAATGACAACATAAATATTTTGAAAAAAGTCAATACTTTTTGAAATAATGAGTGTTGTTTGATAAATCAATCACCCTGTATTACATTAATATTAAAGGTCTAAAAAACTGCCAAATAAATAATACCGAATATTATAATTCATAATATCGGTTGTCAGAATCGATAGTCAACCCTAATCCGACCCCCTACCTAATCATCTTTATAAGTCAATCATCCTTTTTTTCAAGCTGAAATCAATTGCATTCTGTAGTTATGCATGTATTTTAAACAAATCGAATGTTTAGTGTTATTACAGTCGTCATTAACTGTTTTATAGATAAAATTATTTATCATATTTTTTTCTTTTCAACATTGTCAGCTTTAGTACTCCATCAAAACTCTACTATTATGTGTACCTATTTATAAGTTGTATGCTTTTGGGGGCTTTTAGTATGAAAATGTTCTTACAAATAATAATAATATTTTATTGTTGAATTTATAGAAGTTTAYACTGAATTTTTATATCTAAAATCACGTCGTTCAGTTTTAAAGAAAACCGCAGATATCGGTCTTTCCGAGACCTAAGCTATACCAAATTACATTTATTTAAGTTTTTGCTATACTTTGCTCGTAAATCATATAATAGATTGGCGATTGCTACCAATAAAAATGTTCGTAAAACACGTACCTAATTCAATTATTATATCAATGGAATAAAACGTACGGAAATGGCCATGTCCGTCGATGGTACTAAGAAGACGTCGTTATGTATGTTCGGACCATAATAATAATTATATATATATCTCTTGTCATTCTATGTTATTACGATACTTTTATGACCGCGGAGGACAGTGATCGTCGCGTACAAATATTATTATACATTTTATTGTGTGTGTCCTAACATTATTTTATTTGTACTCACCTAAGTTAATGTAAGTAAGTTAACGAGATTAAAAATAGAAATAAAATCGGACGCGCTTTTGTTAATTTATCACAACAATGCAGCTCTAATAATTATATACGCGTTGCGACCTAGGGTCCTCGGTATAACCCACGTACTGTTGAACACTAAATGTTTAATGATAATATATAAGTAACTCTATTTTACCACATGAGCATTTAAGTAAAATTAATACGGATACAGATCAATTTGTGTCAGTCATGTCGTGTTGTGGAAACTGTAGTTCTGAGATCACAATTATTATAACTAGACCACTAATTGGAACAAGACCGAAATACTACAGCAAAGTGTTGTGATTATTGTCGTAGCGAATAGTGGTTCCGTGATTCTTGGGTAAATAGTATGTGTTAGTTTGAAACTTTTGCTTCTGATATTAGGGGAAAAACTTACTATTCAAACAAAATAATTAAAAATTTTTTGGAGGGTAAGTGAGAACTGAAAACTATCCGGCCAATAATTAATCTTAACTATTAAAATGTAAGACACTGAATGGTCTTGCAATGTTAATTACATCGATGTGGGGTGGTGGTGAATTATTATAATTTTTTAACTTTAACGCCACAGCAGTTGTTATAACTTAAAAAGCRTATTTACGGAAATCATTTCGAGGTAAACTGGGTTCAGATATATTTCAATATGGATCCATTTGCTTCTCGTAATGTTTTTGRTTCTTCTTGGCGTTTGACTCGCGAACTACTGCGGAATTGAATACATCTTAAAATAAAATTTTGACCTAAACAATTTTTTTTGCCTTTTAGGTTATTCCAAAAAGTGCTCGACAAATACTTAAATAAACCAATAACCTTGTCACAAATCCAAAATATTCAATTTCTTGATATTACAGTTAGAAACGTTTAGCATTGTATTTACGTATAAGCGTATAACCAATCGTATATCATAAAGTATGTTGTACAATGTATATTGTTTAAACATTTAATTTACATTAGCAGGTCATTCACTCAAGAAGTAATAGAACGTATTTACAACAATTAACGATGGTTGAATAGATTTAATCAAAAACATTTCACTTGTATATAATAGTAGGTAATACAAATAAAATAACAATATCGCAAAATTAAAAAAATCTAAAAATAATAAGTTACATGAAATTGATTGAAAAACAAATCATTCTAGTCATTACAGAACTAAAATTTAACCCGAATTTTGTGAAATATAATTACAAAAAGAGAATTATAATATTTAAAATACCATAAAATTAAAATTCAATCGATTTCTTGCCTTAACAAAAATAAATACTCGATATTATTAACCAACTTTATCATGCAAATGTACTTTTATTCATTTCAAATTTGAAAATAAAAATGAGAAAGTAAATAAGTAACCACTTCGTTACATTATATAGAATATATATTAAGTGCACCTCACCAGTGAGTAAGTCATTGTAATTTATATGTTAAATTAATTTAATGATTTAAATGATAAATACATTCACATGAAAAATGATTCTAAACGCAGATGGTCTGTAAACTGAAATTATTACTAAGTATATTTTATCATATATATTAATTGTATAATATTGTTATTTCAGTTATTTATTTTACTATTACCTAGTTATTTTGTTAATTGAATTCATATTTTCCGGAATCCTTGCATTTATTAAATTATAAATATTTAGTTATTATAAAATAATTACTATAACATTTATATTATATAATATTGTTATTAAGCTTTGAGTCAATAATGACTAATCGTAGAACGGATACGACATCGATATAACTGCAAGGTATTCAAATTTGTACTACCAACATATACATGTTAGTTTGTATGTTTATTACGCACTTATATAAAGTATAAACAGTTCCTCCTATAATTTGTTAAAATTACTTTAAAAACATTAAACACAATTCGAAAATTTATACTCGAATATTCAAATCCTCAAAATGCAAATATAATATTGCTTATATGTCATATATAGCTACAATGCTGTGGAACATGGATGCATATTTTATATTTTTTTTATTATTAGCTAAGATTAAATGAAATTCAGTCCTAATATAACACCCACTGAAATATACTTTTTTTTATTATTACTGTACACAAATGAAATTCGTTTAATATTTCGAATTCAGTTTAAAAAAGCGGGAAAGTGGGTATCGCTCAGCTGTACATTAGGTRGTGGGGTGGATCTCTGATTAGGGTGGTTAGATTTGAATGAAATGATAGGTATCATTGTATACGAAAAACGATTCTGAACGAAGATGATTTGTCAGTCTAGGATATATTATATTTAAATATTGTCATATATTCTATTTTGGAACAAATATCTTATTTTTCAATTAAGACGCATTTTGCATAAGGCATGGTTAATAAATTATTCCAAAAACATTGCATGTAGTCATCATAATTCATAATACCTTATATTATCATAGATATACATATACCTGGTTTGAAAATTACCTTTGTGAATCATTACACGATTTCATAAAAATTTAAAACTCAAACGCTCAAAACATTTTTTCTATAATGACGCTTCAAATTTCCTCTATAGCTATTTGAAGCAAAACTTATGGAAAACTTAGTGTTGAATTTTATAACTTTAGATGTAAAAAAAACAATATTATGAATTTTGAACTACAAAATAATTTGCAAATATTCATGGTTTTGACGAATTTTTGTCAATATTTGAACTTCAAATGCTAATAAAAAAAAATTGTGCCTCTGTATTCTTATAATTTTTTAATCATTATAAGAATAAATTATGAGG